GTCCCTTGCTAATGATTGCCAGTCTCCATAACGAAAGTGCCATGACGGACAGTAGTATCATTATCATACACCTTCAAGATCACAATATGTGGTTAATCGATTGATTTCAGTTAGCAGACACAAGACTATATAATCGTCGGGTTGTTTCCAATGTCCTTTCTTTAACAGAAACTCTTTCATTTAAGTGTCTGATCAATTAATGTAATGAAAGTCGCACTTTTATGGGTCCTAAATGGTTCTTCAACTGAAATATTTCAAACCTACAGGTTTCATGCATGGTGACCATTTGAGTGAGACAGATAAAAACAAATCAACAGTGAAGGAGAGAAAAAAGACACCTCAAATATTCATGCTAAATCGTACATATGGTCAGTTTCGAACTTCCATCGGGACCAAAATTCATCTCAGTCACCACCCTCTCTCTTCCTTTTAGCAGATTTAAAAATACTAGAAAGAAAACATTGTACACGGGTAAAACTATGAACAAAATTTTATTTTCGTCGCCCTCCACATAATAATAATTTTAACCAATCGACTTTCATTTCGAATTCACATACTGATTCGAATTTGGCTCGCACATTGAATAGCTAATACAGTAAGAAACACCAGCAAATAAAGAAATTAAATGCTACTAAGAACTCAGCTGAATATATTTGATTAATTAATTCACCGCTTCTCATGTTGGGATGCTGAGTACTTTAAATATTAGCGCGTACATAGATCTACAATCAGTTCAACAATACTATCTTCCTTCCATCTTTGACAAAAACAGAAAATCCTGAAATAACTTTGAAAACAAAATTAGAAAGCCGGATAAATTTGTTGATTTGGAATCTGTCATTAGACTACGTACAAAAGAGAATTAGGTAACAGAAAACTTTAAGAAGTGAACTGAGAAATGAAATTTATTTCAGCTTCAAAATTACAATTATTTTCTATTATTTTGGCCGTATTTTTTCACTGTGGTTCATGTGTACATGTTTGTAATACTTATATGCATCTGTGAGATGAAACATTGTTAGTCTGAAAACTGTGAATATTTTTCTCAAAACGAAAACTCTCAACAAAAATTCGATTTTGATATGTCGTGTTTCAGTGAGTAATTAGTAGGATTTTGAATGCTTGTTTTTTTTAATTCACTTTCGATTTTCCCATTGATCGACTGCATCGGAATGTTCGATCCAAGAGGTCTATCGATCAAGGCTTTGGCATCTGAAATGATGGGTACCAGGTTCGAGTCTCAGTGAGAACAACATCACTCACTGGGAATGCAGCTGAATCCGGTTGGCGATTGCCGAATGGGGCAAAATGCTCATCCATTGCTACTCGCCATCCAAAAAATTACTCTCGTATGCAGTAGGGATTGAGTGAATATTACATTTACTGTAGTTGCCAACTAAGCAGCTATTTGACATTTGCGGTAATCCACCCAGAAACTTGTGAACATGACTGTTATAGTGCGTCACTTATCATCATTGACCAATTTGACCACAATAACTGTTGAAAAATGTGGAGCACTGAGTACTGTCTCGCCTTAGTGTGGATCTATCCAGCATATAAGTCATTGACTAGCTGTTGACTGTTAGATATCATCATATGCATCTTACAGTGAGACTAATAAGTTGAAATTTAGTTAACTAGCAATTGACATACTTCAAAATCTTTGGTTGAGTGGCAATGCTATCGCTTCGATATCTAATGGTCATGAGTTCGATCGCCAACAAATAAGCGTATAGACACTGTTAAAAATTCCTAAACGAAGACAAGCACTACATCCAGCTGACCACAGTTCGATAGGTGATGTCAGTTGTCTATTGAATCAGTTTTGACATTCAGTCTTGTTTCAAAATGCTCGCTATATGATGCAATTTATAAAGTCGAGTAAAGTATGTAAGGCATGACCCATTTTGATACAGTCATATTGATGAGCCTTTCTTTTTTACCGCTTAGTTCAAAATAATTGATTTAGTAGTTTGGTTATGATGGGAAACCTGATAAACAATTACCAGTCACAATTTTCATCTATGACATATAAAATAAGTATCTGCACTGCACAGGTGTCACCTTATCACTTGAGGAAGAAAAGAAAATTCGATACACACCTGCTGAGTTTCTCACAAGGGTTACCAATGATATTTAAAAAGAGATAAAAATGTTTCAACCTGTGTAACGAAAGTTAGGCAATGAGCTGAATATTTAAAATTCATTGCAGGTTATCATAACAATGAATACAGGGCAAAACGTGATCAACATGATATGATATTTTGCATAACAGAGTGTATGTCTAACTTCACACAGAGTTGTGGTTATTTTTGAAGATCATTTTCTTTATTGATAAATAAACAATATAACCAGTTAAGCAGATTGTGTAATTTGCCATCAGTCTTTCCAACTATCTGTGAAAGGTATTCATTATAGAAAAATGATGGAATTATACCTAATGAGATAAGGAGTTCAAGTATACGAGTTTGGATATAAGAATAGTGATAATATTAAATGTGGTAATAGTAACAGTAGTCATAACAATAAGACTATATGAGTGTTTATGTAATCAAAGTATTCGCAAATAATGGATTTGTAGGGAGATGATGTATGTGTATAGGCTTGAAGATGGAGTAAGCATTGTGTCACAGCGACTAATAATTAGCAGAGATTCTTAATTTCCTTGGTAACTGTGAAGCTAAAGCTGAAGTCTGTGGCACTAAGTGGTATGTACAACGAAAAATAATATTTGCATTCATTCACTTGAACTGTGAAAAAAAATATTTATGCATGTAACTGGGTTAAATAGATAAGATGGAGTCGAGATTTCTATTGTATCTACATCTCTGAACAAGAGGCAATAGTGGTTATTACCTACATTACTTTAGGCACAACGGATGATGTGTAAACGTGGATAACTGTTTCAGAATTTTGTAGGGTTGAATTTTTCCAAGCTCACTAAGAAAGTTTACAGTTGAAATCCATATGAAATTTATTGTGCTTTGCCTCTTTTATCCTGGATAAAGTTGATCAAGGCTACGGCTGGATTATTGGTTTTCCCTACGTATGCCTCTGCTTCCAGTCAATAAACGTATGCAAGAGTAGTCAAGATTTTCAGGTTAAACTTTATATACATTGGAACTATACCATGTGAACTAACTTGAAGGCATAGCATCATGATGAAGAACATACTATTAGTTGGTTTCCTGAGTTTCAAGAACAGTAGTCCAACAGATGCATCATATTTTAGCGATATTATCAGATAACACACTTTTGTTTCAGACTAGGTTTATTATAATCGCCGTTGCAAGTTTCTATGAATGAGACAGCGAGAGAGATACAAACAATCTGAGGTGTGTGTAACGACCAACTAACAGCTTAGTAAATTCTTCTATGCTTCGTGGAAGTGACACATCAAAGAAGTATATGAACAGCCTTCAGTCTGTGTTTGAATATAAAAGTGTCTTATGTGTATAATAAAATTCAGAATAAAAAATATTGAATCCGCAGTCCATGTAGTTATAGTAGAATGACTGTTAATTTTCTGAACTGATGATTTCAATTAAACGGCTTCTGAAAAAGTCAGTTATAAACAGACTTTCTGCTAGTTAATAACTTACTATCCAGAACAAAGTTAGACCTTTGTTAACACATATGAAGAATATCAGTTTCGCAGAGCTTAGAGATAGTTGTGGAGTGTATTGGTCACTTCACTTATTTGGGAAGTTTCACCAGCCTCAACAGGTTGACTGCTGAGGAAATTTCAGAATCAATACAAAGGGCTCGTGTGGCACTCACCAACTTACTTCATTTCTTGATATAAGTATAAAACTTGGTCAATGTGGTAGAGTATAACTCCATTATGGATAAGATTTTATTTTGATAAATCACACAGTGTTATAGAGTAATATTATATATATATGTATATATATATATATATATATATATATATATATATATATATATATATAATCCCTTACTTCATCCAATAGGAGGTATATTAATGAGAAATCTAATTTGCAGCCACAGTCATTACGTTATATATAAAAGGAACAAATGCAGTATCATACAACGCGAAACATATTTGAATTAATAATAAGCTTTTAACTGCATCAAAGCCACATAACACTTTTTGTGACTAATTTTCTTGTATGGTAGTCACCATTGTTCACTGAAAGTAGGTGTTTCAGGAAAAAGACATTTCAGCCAATTTGTAAGTTCTTTTATTCCGTATTCAGACTTTGGTTAGAGATGTTTGAACCTCCATTTACTATGTCTGAGAACAATAATCAGTCTCTATAACTGTGGCTGATTGCATCCTATAGAAATTAAGAATCTCAAAAAGTTTGATAAATTCCACAATAAGCTACCAAATGACATCAATAGAGCCACTTATACACAGAAAATTAACTGGCCGTTCCTGTCTTTAATCTTGACCGTTAGTGAAACAAAAGCGCTAATTCTTTCCACACCAAATTTCCACAATAACGAATGTAACATTCATTCACCATCCACAATTCAGGTTATTATTGTGATTTCTGTTCAAGTCACGTAATTCATGTTCAGGTAAATATTTACCATTGTAGTCCTAGTAGCAGTTCACCATTTCATTAACTGTACAGACTTCGAAGATAAAAACAAGAAAAGATTGATTAAAATATCACATTTTCTAAATTATTTCACTTTTCAAGTGTTGGTTTGTAGGGATTTGATTGGTTTCAGGATTTCATCATGAGCTGACATTAGTTAGAGAACCATTGGAAAACCTGGGAGTGCTGTACAGCTGTTTCGCCCTAGTTTGGGACTCTTCATCAGTACGCACCCACCGGGATTCGAACCCAGGAACTTCCGGTTACAAGGCGAGCTTGTATACCATTAAGCCACTGGGACCCGATCCAATGGTCCTTGAATTCTAACTTCTGCCAATTCACGACATAGCGCGACCGCTAGCCAATGTTTATTCTGTAGAAAAATAAAATAAACTGTGTGTATAATGCATTTGATTCTTTTATATTCAGGGTTCAGCAGTTGGTTGTTATATTGGATGTTTATTAGTGAATCAGACATTTGAAAAACGACCTGGTGAATGTCCTAGAGAGCTGGTATATTCAGTGTTTGATTTCGATAGATCAGTCCTACTTGGTCAAGATGATCATTCAAGCTACAGAAAACATGAATCGACCAACAAATGCATTAATAACTGTCAGTTAGACAGTGAATGCACAAATCCTTTGCAAATCTGTTGTAAATCTGATTGTCATCAACAATGTACAAATGTGAGTTGTTCGTTAAACTATGTAAATATGCTTCACAATTATAACATACTTTATTTTGTCTGTTTAGTCTATCCATTTTGATTACTTTCACCTCTTGACTCAAGTACTTCAGAATATATTTGAAGTACACTCACACAGGCATTTAAATCATGTACCGCCATGAAGTAATAAGAATAGACGAGACAGACATTTCTCCCTAGCCTTCTAAACAAGCAATCAAATAGCTCTTCACTACTGGTTCTGAATGAAGAAAATCTGGAAATAAGGTCCTTCGCATACCATCAAGTCTTTAAAATTGTCCTGATTACACTATTATATACTTCTTTCGGTTGAAATTTACATCGCTACAACAGTTGACCATTTTTAATATATGTGAAGTTCATTTCCTTTATTGTTAGCTTTAGAATATATTTTTACTCAGCTTATTTAACACATGAAGCTGCTGTTTTATAGACAATTGGGCTGGCCTACATTAAGCATGTTCAGCTTATGGTCGAACATACAAGACTGTGTAAATGCAGAGTTCAATAGTTATTTCTTCCCAAGTATGAAAGAATTAACCATTATTTAGTGATTACAAAGAAAGTGAGTTTCATTTCAAGAATCTCAGAATCATACATTTTAGTTTAGTCAAGCACATTGTCTTTTTGGTAATCCGGTTTCCTTGAGATATTCAAATTACAAAGGGCACAGAGCCAAAGAAATATTAGTCAATCTTGCAAATAGCTTCCAAAAACTACTAGTCTACAGTATTCTTCATTCACCACTGGGTGCTGAACTTCGCTGTTCAAGTCTACTTGTTAAGTTGAATGTATGTGGTCAAGCATCCATGCCATTCGGTGAGCTGTTATGTCACATCCGGTCGTTTGTGCACACTGGCCAGTTAAGCCGCCATCACCGCCTTACTGTCATCATTCCGAAATATATCCCGTATTTTAGACCACCAATAAGATTTTTGGATTTGTTTCTTGTCACAGTGGAACAAGTGATTTTTGAGTTGGAGGATTGATACTTGAGTTTGCATATACCATACCTTGCGTAACGTTGACATCTTTCGTCTCCTAGAATTTTGGCTGAATGTCGTTCTAGTAACTAGACGCACTCAGAATTTCCTTCGATAACTTGGACCTTATACTTACTGACGCAGAGTATAATACACAAATATGGCTTAAAAACGTGACACTCAACGTAATACATGATGCCAAACTGCAAGTATATTCTTGTGAATAAAAAACCTTTGAATTTATCTAAATATTATATACATATAACAGGGTGAATAGTTCTAGCCAAGTAATTGACATTGAATATACAGCTTCCCCATTATCAAATCACCAAGCTGACAAGTCTACTTGTACTAGAAAAATAACAGACATCATTAGAAAGAATTTAACACAGAGATATAAGCTACTTATCACTTATTAAGTACAACTAAAGTATGAAACATATAATGAATCATGTTCACAGTGTGCGCAGAGTGTGTAAATATTTAAGTACCATGTTGTACAATAAACAGAGCGCGTTTCTTCAATATACACATGTATGCTAATTTCCTTAATAATGACAGTAATAATATTGGTAGCGGTAGTCGTGTGTACACTCACCTTTGTCTGTAGTTCGACAAATTTTTAGATATTAATTGTAACAATGGTGCAAATGCTTCTTATTTATCGGTGTGTGTTTATGTTGGAAAGGAATTTCTCTGCAAAAGTGTTCAAATTGAAGTCACTGACGTAGCAATATGTATATATATATATATATATATATATATATGCATTCATGTATAATTGTGTCTGGTTACCTAGGTAGCAGCTAAATAATACTATGATGTCAGTAGTCAATGCTTTCCTTTAATACAAATTCAGTGACCTAAGATGAGAATATCATAACACAGGGAATACTACATCAAAGTGATTTCTAAAGGATTCATTGAATGACATTTAATCTACAGGACTTGTGGGGATTTAAATTTTAGTCACCAACCAAAATCATACCGACAAGTGCTATAATTTGAATATCAATTGCCAGCACACTGATGGCTACCGAATGGACTTCCTGAAGTTAAAATGGGAGGTCGTGACCACTGAGGTCCACAGTGTCAAGGTGAATTGAATGCCCATCGAAAGCATTCATGAGGGCAGAGCTATATCACTAATCCCGGTGAGTGCGTACTGCTGAACAGTCCCAAACTAGGACGAAACAGTTGTCCAGTACTCCCAGGCTTTCCAATGGTTCTCTAACTGATGTCAGCTCATGATGAAATCCTGTAACAAAGTTAGAATTCGCGGTTCACTTATTACAGGCACAAGTGACTGAATGCTCAACGAGCTTGGTCTTGTAACTAGAGGTCCCAGGTCCGACACCCAGCCGAGTCGTGGATAATCACTGCTGCAGAGTCCCATAGTAGGACGAAACAGTTGTCCAGTGATCCCTGGTTTACAATCACCTTTAGCTGATTTCGACTCATGTCGAAAGTTTAAAAAGTGAAATACATTGAATGAATTCAATTTCCGGGCTATATTAATTAGCAGATCTGTTTTTTGGAATTGGTGCAACATAACATATTCACATTTCTTTGAAAACTGAAGTCTTGCACAATAACAATGATTGACTATGTCATCTATTTCGAGATATGACTTATTTGGCTTCGGTCGACTGTCTGAAACAGCATCTCTAACTTACATACTTCGACTGTGTTACAAGCTGTCAGGTAATAATCGATGCTCATGTTGAAGTACATGCGAAAGCGTTGGAAACGAAGTGAAATATTTATATCCTTCTTGTTATAAATAGTCAAAATGCTTCATTTCCCAGAAAAAATTTAGCATCTATTATGTCTTTTGATATTAAGTGTAACTGTGGTTGTCAGTATACTATTTCTCGTAGCTGTTAACGATAATTCTTAGACACTATGTTTACTGCTCTTGTGCTACGGTGTTTACTCATAATTAGAGTGTATATAGTCTCACCATGGGACATTGCTTTTCCTAGTGACTGGTTGCAGTTCCAGTTATCATAGATCACTTTAACATCTGAATGAATTCACCGATATAAATCTGTGAGGTGTCCTCAATTTCACAGATACCCGCTGTTGAATTCTGACAAGCATACTGTTCTTAGGTCAACAAAGTTCCATCATCTGTCTTCTTCAGGATCCAAAGGGATATGTTGTAATATTTTTCACTGCATAAAACTCTTACTTTTTTATTCATGTTTGTTTGTTTAATACTCTTTTTTTATTATAGCCAATTTTTAACGAACTTGTTCCTCCGATATCAACGCATTTAAATTCAACAGTGTCTACAATTAACTCAAATAGTGTAAAATTATTTTGGTCAACATTGTATAAAAATTTGACTAGCTCCATTAATCCAATCGTGTTCATACTTCAAGTACGAATATGTATATGTAAACAGTTTGATGAAAACTACTCATCGAAATGGCAAACATTGATTATGGTGAGTTATATAAATTCAAGCATGAAGAGTATTAAGCTAGCGGATGCGGTGCATTGGTTAAATGCGTCTACTATGACAGATAAACTTCATAACCCGTTGCACATTAGGCAATCCTCGTGCCTGAATACACTAGTGGATAACGCTTTCGCCTTGAAACAATTAGTACAGGATTCGAGTCTTGGTAAGAACGCCATCACTAACTAGGTGTACAATTATATCCAAGCGATGGGTTCCAAGTAAAGCCAAACCTACGCCATTGTTTCCACTACCAGCGGAGGTCAAACAAAACCTTCATAAACTTAAGCACTTGGTAATCCTCATTAATTCCAGAATTGAACCTGCCATTAACGAAAAACAAGCAATTTTATAAAAATTGAGACAGCATATATTTTTTGATTGATTAGTAATGAAATCCTCCAAAAAGCGTGTTACCTGAGCTAAATTTTCCTTCCACATTAGATGACTGCTTATCTTTTTTAATTTCGGGACTCAGGAGCAATAATCTTTTAATATGATGACGTATTTTAGAAATTAAGTATTCTGACACTTCTTATTTTCTCTGTTAGATTAATCAAGTCCAGTGATATTTGGTGTGAAATGCAACAACTTTGTAATTTGTGATAGCCATTATGTAATTTCAATCATTATAGAGTATTGAAATCTTGAACCGTCCTTAATAAATGCAGAGTTGATGTGCTTTATATAAGATGTTGACCAATTGAAGTCATAAGACTGTTTTCTTTTCCATTCATGCGCGTTTCTAGTGAAACATATGACTTCAAGGTTGAGCTTTTAAGTTTCAGTAGCTGTGGGTGGTTTGCTAGCCTCACTCCCAACCTTCCCTCTTTTTTCGGGCTTACTACTGGTTGGTAAACTAGGCCAGTTTCATGAGTATGTCATCTGGGAATCAAACCTGGACCGTAGCTGCAATATATATTATTGTTAACTAGCTCAGTGAAAATACAAACTTAAATGCGTATCTGAAGCATAAAGCAAATACAAACTTTACCATCAAGTAACTCCTTTGAGCTGTTTCACTATATCTTACATCTCAACACAGTTATGCAGAACACCATAGATTTATAAGGTACAAAAGTGTAGCAAAACTTCAAGTACTTATCTACTAATATAATTTTTAATGAGTCTGTAGAATTAACTTAATTTATAGACAGTAAGATTCAATTATAAATCTAACTAGTACTTGTTTGAATAAAGTATAGTGAAGTTTATTTACTCCGACTATTATACTTGTGTAGTAGTAATTCATATTATTATATTTGTCTAGACTCATGAATTTGGAGCTAATCTTGAAGCTTTCGAGCCTGGACGATTGTATCAATTTCGTATTGCTGCTGTCAGTATTCATGGGACAAGAGGATTTGGTTTAAGTACAAAAGCCTATCCTATAAATCCAGTACAACCAAGACCACCTGATCCACCCAGAAATGTTACAGATTCAATGTGGCGATTGTATTCTTCAGGTAAAATAAGTCTTCTCTTGAAATGGCAGCCACCGAGACACAGTGACCTTCCAGTCAGTGAATATCTCGTAAGTTATGCAATAGCTTTTATAAGTCAATCACGGTTGTTCATTTATTCTACTTTGCATTAGCATGGTACATCTTCATAACTTATTATTTTTTTGTTTTTCTGACAGATAAATTGGTCAGTTGATCACGGTTATCTACAAACAGATGGAAGGTCTCTTGAGTCATTTATTCAGTATACACTAACTACCAATGCAGTAAGTGGAATGCTTTCAAAGGTGTACTTACTGTCTGTCTCTTTTTACACAAGGATGAGAATTATGCTAAAGACACACTACTTAAATAGTTATCCTAAACAGTTTCATAAAATGAAATGTCCTGAAGTAATGAATGGCTAACATGTAAAGGTAAATTTGCTTATCCGGGTTCAAGTTAATTACAACAACCTTAAACTGCTTATCAGTCGAACTGTAATGCAAATTTATTGACTATCGAACCCTTCGAATATGTTCGAGGTGAATTTACATTTTCTGAATAACTTATCTTAGTGAAAGAAAGCCAGTTTCTTGTCTAAGTCAGTATGTTCGTAGTTGAAATCCTATTCCCTTTATTTCATTTTTAAGCCAACAGTCACTCAGATCCTGGGTTTTCGTAGGAATCTGAAATAATTTATGTATTTCAAGAATCAACATCAGTTAGAGGATCAGTGAAAACAGCGGAACACTAGTTTGGGACTCTTTATCAATGCATACCCATTATCCAACTAGGGGTCGAACGCCGAACCTTCAGATTACTATAATCAGTCTTGATACATTAAATATGCCTTATAAACCAGTGAGAAAGGACATCCATTCTGTATATTTGTAAAGCTTGTTTATTAGGATAAATACCAGAGTAATCTTACAGATATAACGAAAATCATTCAATGTTACTTTCATCTTAACGGTTATAACAACACTGTTTTAGCTTTTCCTCAGATATTTCAACACTTATAACATTATCATTGTCTTTGGCTTCGACTGCAGAATAGAGCTTTAACATTACATTTCCACTTTGTTCTGTTCTCTGAAGTCTTTTTCAGCTGGTCCCACCCAAAAGTCTCTTTGGCACGTGTCCGATCCATCCCTATTTTATTCGAAATATTTCTTGAGGAACAGGTATTTGATTGGTTCGTTTCTGGAGTTTCTTGTTTCTAATTCTTTCTGACCATTTGGTGTTCAACAGGGAGTCAGCAAAGACAGCTGCTGCTAAATGTCTGCAGCCTGTTAGAAATTCTTTTGGTGACGCTATCCCCTAGTTCCTGACCCATAAAGAACTGACTTAAAACTGATGTTCGAACCAAATTTCGTCCTTGGAGTTGAGTGCAGATTTGCACACTGATTTCATAGTGACAAAGGTCTGTCTTCTATTTTTGATCGTGGCTGCTGAATGAGGCTGATACAGATTTGGGTTACTGCACTCCATAGTGTTGAAGTAGTTTCCTAATTACGTTGCGTTCAACGTAGTCGAATGCCTTTTAGAAGTCGTTGAGATCGAGGTAAAGGTTTGACCTCTATTGTATGCTTTGTTCGATGAAGATGCGTAGAGTTGCGATTCGGTCAGGATATGATTTGCCTTTCCTGAATCCAGCTTGTTCCAGTTGGCGGAGTTCTGCATCTACTGCATCTTTAAGTCTCTCTTCTGCTATAAATTCATTTGATTCTATTTATCTTGCGCGTAAACGTAAGTAAATTAATTTAAGAATAGAGTTCGGTACTGTAGCAGAGTAAAATTCCATAATTGAATAATTTTATTTGATAAACACACAGTGATACTGATAACATTTCAACCGGAATTCACTGAACATAATCATATCAGAGTGAATAAATTACAACGAAATTTCTTGACACAAAATCTCATAAGAATCTGTTGAACATAACTTCTTTTATTTTGTTTTACTTTCAGGATCGTACAGAGTGCATTTTGCAAAATCTCAAGCCAGCAACCTCATATAAAATTCAGGTAGACATGATTTCATTCACTTAAATCTAATCAATTAAAACGAGTACATTTCATAATTTTCCCCACTACAGACATACTTATTAATCGTTTAGTAGTATAAATTATTCTTCTTATAACACTTTCATTTGATATTGTAGAGTTTAGGTTTCGTGTATTGCCACCTCAAGAAAAGTATTAACTATTTTCATTTTCTTAGAAACCGGTAACATTCGGACAAGCATTGAAGAGTGATTACCACTTGTAGTAAATACTCTGAAGATAATTCTCGTAGTTTTTTTGCGAAATATTTCCCTGTAACGTCAAAATATTTTATTGTTCCCTTGGGTTCCTAGTGGAACATAGGGCTTCAACTGCACGCCTCCACTTGCTTCTGTCGTCTGATGTACTTTTCACCTGCATCCATGTTAGTTCATACTCCTTCAACTCCTCTTCACACGATCTCCTCCATGTCACCCTTGCACTGACGTCCCACCCAGCTGCGGCCTCCTCAGCGAGTGTCCAATCCATCTCCATTCTCTCCTGCATATTTGTCGGTTGGCGATTGGTTCTTGTTGGTGATTCTTTCCGGCCCGGCCATCTAATCTTCAGTACAGAGCGAAGACAGTTTTTGGTTGATGAAGGTCTGCAACAGGCTGTTGGAAATATTCTTTGTGACCCGCCCGCCAAGTTTCTGATTCGTCCCATATAGAAGAGCTGACTGACTTTACGTTTGTATTGAAAATCCGACCGAATTTTGTTGTTGATGCTGAGTGACGAAGATTTCCAGATTGCTTTCAGGTTGATGAATGTGTGCGTCTCTCACCTTCCCGATTCTCACTCGATTTGACATCCTCGTCCGTTCCGACTGCCTGTAGTTGAGACAATGCTCCCTAGATAAGTGAATGAAGTAACCTCTTTCAAATCCCTCCCGTTGATGGTGATTGGTGCTGGATGTTGCTGTTGTTGTTGTTGTCGGTTGGTTGGTTATTTTCATAACCTCCGTCTTGTCTATGTTCACATGGAGACCTGTCTTCGCCTGCTGTTTCTCCGACCATTTTGTCGGTTTTCGCTTGTAAGTCTTCGATTTTGTGTGACATCAAACACAAATCGTCCACGCGCGAAATCCAGGTCTTCTAGGTTCTTCACGTCGGTCCAGGATATTCCTGTCTTCTCGTTTCCCACTGTCTGACGCATAATCCAGTTCACCACAATTAGGAATATCATTGGTGATAATAAGCACCCTTGTCTGACTCCTGTGTTTACTCCAAACGCCTCGCTGAGTTTTCCGTTGTGGATCACTTGACACGTGCCGTTTTCGTACAGCTGTTGAGTGAGGATGATGAATATTTGGGGTACTGTACGCCGTAGTTCTCGAGTAGTTTCCAAATTACTTCACGGTCAATGCTGTCAAAAGCCTACTCGAAGTCTTTAAAGTTGAGGTAGAAGTTTGATTACCATTTCATGCTTTGTTCTGTGATGATGATGCGTAGAGTTGCAATTTGGTCAGTACATGATTTGCCTTTCCTGAATCCAGCTTGTTCTGGTCGGAGTTCTGTATCCAGTGCGTCCTTTATTCTCTTCAGGATGATGCGACTCAGGATTTTGCTTGGCGTCGACAGGAGCATGATTCCTCGCCAGTTCTTGCAGAGTGAGGCGTAAGTCGCCCTTCTTTGGTAGTTTCACGAGGTAACCTTTCCTCCAGTCAGTAGGCACCTTTCCCTCCTTCCAGACCTTTTGCAATGATGGAGTCAGCATGTCTGCTGTAGTCTCTGTGTCCGCTTTCAGTGCTTCAGGGGGTATTCCATCTGGTCAGGCTGTTTTTCCAGCTTTCAGAAGTTTGATTGTGTTCAAGACTTCAGCTCTCGTTGGAGGATTGGTGTCAACTTGCAGTTGTGTGCGCGCTGTTGTTGGTATTTCTGGACGAGTTGCAGGTAATGGTCGGTTCAAGAGTCCTTTGAAGTGATCCGCCCATTGTTTAATCTGTTTTTCTTCCTTGGTGATTGGGTTCCCTTGGCTGTCTTTTATAGGTTTCGCTTGTGTTGATCTCTTCCCGGATAGAGACTTGGTTATCTGATATAATGTCCTCAGGTCCCTTTTGCCTGCTGCCTTTTCAGCTTCAGTGGCCAGGTTGTCGTAGAATCGTCTTTTGTCCTTCCTAGCACTCTTCTTCACTTCTTTGTCCAGTGCTGTGTAAGTTGAGCTCAGCGTCTCCTTCTCTTACCCGTCTTTGCATTGAATCATTTTCTCTTTCACCATTCTCCTCTCATCTATTGGCTTCCGAGTGTCCACTGAGAGCCATTCCTTTTCTTGTATTTTCTTTCTTCTTAAAACCGTTGAACATGTTTCGATGAAAATCACCTTCAGAGAGTTCCAGTGGTCTTTCACGCATGATTCTTCAGTGATATCACTTAGTGTTTCCTGCTTTGCTCTGACAGTTGCAGTGAAAGTGTCCTTTGTGGTTGTGTCCTTCAGGTTTTGAGTGTTGAACTTGCATTATGGCCTATCCCCAGCTATCCTCAAGGCTTTTAGCTTCAACTTGACAGTCCCTTGTACTGGATAGTGGTCTGAACCCACATCTGCTCCTCTCCTCGACCTTGTGTCCAGTAGGCTCCGTCTCCACTTTCTTGAAATTGAGATGAAGTCTACTTGGTTTTTGGTGTTTCCATCGGGTAAAATCCATGTCGCCTTGTGTATATCCTTGTGTTTGAACACACTACCATCAATCACCAAATCATTGAAGGCGCAGAAGTCTGAGAAGAGTTCACCATTGTCGTTCATTTCACCGAGGGCCTCATGACCCATGGTGGGTTCTCTTCCTGTATTGTCTCCTCCCAGCTCTGCATTCATGTCGCCCATCAGGATTTTGATATCGCCATTTGGGACGTTGTCCATTACTGTTTGTAGTTGTCTGTAGAACGCCTCCTTCTTCTCTTGTTCTGAGACGTTTGTAGGCGCAAAGCATTGGATGATTGTTACCTTCTTTCCTTTTGAGTTGAACCTAGCTGTCATTATCCTGGAGGAGATTGGTTCTCACTGCATGAGAGCTTTGGCTGCTGTTGGTGAAATCATGATGGCCACTCCCTCGGTGTGCTCGTGGTTGTCCTCTGGGTGGCCGGAATAGATTACTGTCCCTCCAGTTGGTAGTTGACACCTTCCAGTTCCGTTCCATCTGCTTTCGCAGAATCCCAACACTTCTATTCTGTACCTTCTCATTTCAGCGGCCATCTGGGCAGCCTTTCCAGCTTTGTACATTGTACGAACATTCCAGGTGCCCATCCTTACTTTTGCTTTCATCGAAAGAAGGCACATCGGCTGACTGGCTTCCCGAAGGCTTTCACCAGCCTGCGTCATTTCACTTCCTCGATTCCATCGAAAAATAAGGTTACTGTTTGTATTTTTAGAATTTTTTATATATTGGTGCATTAAAGTTTCTGTAGAGATTTGAATGTTTTACGGGGGTGGAGTTGCTAGCACCACGCCTCTACACTCCCTCTTTATCTGGACTTGGGACCGGCTAGAAAACTAGCAAGCTAGTAGTCTAGGCGGAGTTATTAGTATTATAGTATTTTTATTAGTATAGAAGTGGAAGAATTGTGGCTATCCAAACGTCAAACTAAGCTAGCTGAATTGTGATCAGTGACGGATAACATTCACTGTTGGTTTCACCATAAAGTGAACTAGTAGATGTTGGAAAGTTTAGAGAGGAAGTTGGGTTGCAGAACAGCGACTAGGTGGAGACGGGCGACTGTGCAGCATAGATAGCGATCCTGTATGTTTTTTTGAAAATCAACTGCGGAGTACATCTAGACTGGAATTTAATAAGTAGCCATTGCTCTATTACATATTATTGCAGCAGTAGTTTATACTAAATCATATCACAAAATACTCTTATTTGATCGATAAAAGATGTTTTATGTATAGTTAATTATAAAGACTCTAAAGGCCCTTATGTCCTCCTATATGATTCGCATTTCCCACATAATTAAAATATAATTTAGAGAATATCTTATGTAGATGTATTCGTTAGATCAAGGTCAGATGTTTATGTCTCAAACATTGGTCATGAGAGAATATGAACAAAGACTGATTCAACAAACAACCACAGCAGACTTTGCGTGGGCGGATACGGTTAACATATAGATGATCTGACAATCAAGAGACAGTCACAAAGAGAAACAACCAATCAGAAGACTGTGTTTTTCTGCTAACAATAATCTATAATATGTACATGAAAATCTATAAATATGTGTTGATTTTCTTTAATAAACGATCTGTTGCCTGACTCTTCTTTCTGTCGTTACCATACCACCTCATTTTCATACTTTTTTATCTCTCTGGGGTATAGGTATATTGTTTGTTATGAAATTTATAAATATTTGCCATTAGATAAGTACTGAAGGTGATCTATTTTTCTCTGTTTTGATAGGTAAAGGCAATATCTTATTGGAATGGCTACGGTAATTTGGAATCTCAGCCGAATACAGTTTTTTTATCAACTCAGTCAATACATCCAGCTTTCCATCAGCAAAGTATTGATCCAGTAGAGACCCATTTACCGCCAAAACGAGGTATGTCTATTTGTACTGTGGACAGATTATATGCATTTTCAAGAATACAGTGAGTTTAAAACTAGCCTATTTTACTAGCCAGTCCTAACCTCGGAAAAAGAGGGAAGGTTGGGCAGCCCTCTTCCAAAAAGTCAGCCCAGTCGCTACATAAAATTTCATACTTAGGAAAATATAAGAAAATAAAATCGTTTTTCATCGGAATAGGAGAGACTAAATGATGCGTTCTGCTGGTGAAAGCCTTCGGGAAGCCACTCACTATTGGTACGTAGACCTAATGTGTCTTCTTTTGATGAGATCAAAAATAAATATGGTGACTTGGATTGTCCAAACGATATTTAAGGCTGAGGTGGCTGTCCAAATTGCTATAAAGATGAGGAGATACGGTAAAGAAGTACTCGGAATATAGTGGACATATGGAATTGAAGTGAATGCTTCAAATTACTAACTGAGGAGTCGGTATTGTACACCAGTCACCCAGACGACATCTACGAGCACACCGGATAAGTGGCTATCATGACGTCACCAGCAGCATCGAACCAACCTCCTCCATGGTAATGAAAGAAAGATTCAATTCAAAAGGAAGGTAAGCAACCAGAGCTACTCCCTCACAAATAATGCAGATCAAGTGGAGAAGGAAGACTCCTGAGGACACCTACAAACGGTAATAGATAAGACCCGAACCAGATGGCGGCATCAGAATCCCTATGGGTTATGTGAATGCAGACAATACAGGAAGAGAACTAACTATGGGCCGGGAAGTCCTCGTTGAAATGAAAGATAGCTACAGATTCTTCTCAGACTTCTGTGCATTCGATAGTTTGCTGATTGAAAGCAGAGTGTACAGGTACAAGGATATACACAAAGCAACATGGATAGATAGACTTCATCTCAATGTTACTCAAGGAAGTGGAGACGCATCTTGAAGGACACAAAATCCAGAAGGGGAGCAGGTGTGGGCTCATACCATCATCTATTTCAAGAAACCTTCAGGTTAATTTGAAAGCCCTCAGAGCAACTGGAGTCAGACCACACTTCAAGCCCAACACTCAACAACTGAAGAACGAAACTAGAAAAGGCACCTTCACAGCTACTGAAGCATAGCCAGAGACACTACTTAGCATTACTAAGGAAGCCTGCATGAATATGATGTAAAAACACCTATCACAATGAAAGGGTCATTTTGACTTGACCGGTGAATATACAGACCTAAGCTGATTTTACCTTTTTCACTGCATAGGCTTAATATCTGACTTTCAGAAATAATTTTTAAGTCATTTAGTCTTTCTAACATTGCAAATAACCTAACTGCTTCCAGTTCATTGGAATTTATTCCAATAGGCTGTTTAGCAACTTACCTACGTGTAGATTTTTAGAATGACATTCTACTAGTAAGGATTAAGAGACCTAGTTTTTTTCAGCAATAGTGAAGAGATGTAGAAAAATTTAGACATGTATCTACTTAAATCTTGGGATTAGAAGCAGGATTCCTAGGTAAAGGGTTCAAGCTTTAATAAGAGTCGTAAATTCTAATCATCTATCTATTTAAGAAACTTTAATGTATGATTCTATTCTAAGATTGTACTTATAACATTTCAAATTAGTAAAAATATTTTGTATTCCGTTTCTATGGTATTTTAGTAGCACCAACACCAAGTGGATTCGCAATCCAGTCAAAATCATCAAACTGTGAATGCGGATCATCTGTACAACCTCTCCTGTTGAAGAAAATATTCTACGATAGTAATAAGTTAAATGCTGTACTTCAAATAAACTTCAGTAAGCCTCTTTTTTATTCTTATATTATTTATTTTATGTAATTGCGGTGGAAAGTAATCTATGCGGGATGAGTACATTTGGGAACATAACTGTATATATCGTTTGCTTGACTTATTATTCAGTAGTTTACTCGGACTGCAATGTATCAAAGAATTTGATTGCATACTCTTCAGGACTAATCGAAATCTGTACCGATAAAGTTTTCTTTGTGCTCAGTAAGAGTAGTGATAGGATTAATGTGTACTAGAGATCACTTAATCGATTTTCAGCTATCTAGGTACGTTAACTGCGAATGAGACTGGCCAACTGGCGCTTCATAGACATGATGATCACTGGTCTAACATGAATGGATGTCTTCGATAAGACCAACCAAGTAGGTTTCACTGACTCTTTGAAGAACAGATGCTGCTGAGCTCTAGAATCGCGAATCGGTCTTGAATTGCTGGGTGACACAGTGGTTAGGACTCTCGCCGACCATGCACATGGTCCGAGGTTCGATCCCCTACCGACGCATACCTGATATTTATGGTCGACCTGCAAAATTTGGGCCACCGATATCCATGCTGAAAATTTCATATTTGTACCAAAAATACGGTGTGGGATCAAGCTGTAATCAAAAATAAAAAAAATATATAAAAGTGATATTACGAACAGGGGGTCGAAAGAGCATTTTGAGGATCAGAAGTTCGGTGATGAAGCGTTTAACGAAGAGCAACTGGCTTGTACCTGCGTAGTTTCTTAACGCTGTCAGTAGCTAGTGCGCTTTATGGATAGCCTTAGTGGTCAGCTGCTTTTTTAGGGCCTTACCACCATTTGATTTGAGAGGTCTCCTTTGAACGAGCCATAGCGGAAATGTGAAAGAGCATTATTACTGCGTTATTTTCAGTACTGACATTTCTGCTGTTATTCAGTTACAGCCAACTGGTAGGATGCTTTGAACTAGTTATTACTCATTTTATAAATCTTTCAATTATGCTTCTTAGAAGGCTATATTATGCCATCTCTAGTATTGATTTAAAACATCTGTCTTAACGTAACCAAATTTTAGCTTTAGAGTAACGTGATCGATATGAAATCTGAGTCCACTCTTCTACGAAATACTACCTAAGTGTGATCACGAAATGACTTCAGTTAGATAACTATTGTCAGAAGTTAGAACTGCAGAGATATTGGATTCCTTCGCAATGGCTGTATGGTCAATGAGCTCACTTTGTAACCTGAAGTTCCTGTTTTCGACCCATGTTAGAGTCTTGCATGCGTATCTCTGATGAGTCGCTGGCTAGGACCAAACAGCTATCTGGTATTCCCTGGTTTTCAGTGAACTTTCCCAACTGAAGTCAGTCTGAGAAAATTTTGAATTCAGTCAAATCTCTAACAACTAACCTATAATTGTCTATATTAGCTATTTGAAAAGAACAGTAGGGCCTGTAAAATTCTGAATTAGTGAAGTCTGATTTACAATACTTCCTTAAACATCTCAGAGATATACAGCATTATCCAGAGGTTTCTAAAGGTATCATTTAGACAGGAGCATTGGGTTTTCACTCCCATATAAAGTGCTTTTTCGTTAGTGTGCGTTTGTTTAGTTTCTTTTGTCAATGCTAATTCATTCCACTTATTCTTACACTGCTTTTTAATGTTCCTTCTTTTATTTTTATTCAATGCAGCCATTGAGAAGGATACTACAACTGTGATTCAGTGGTTTCCGCAAGTTTGCATTGATTCAAATGAACCTTTATCAAATACAGTGAGGCGTAAAGTCTTGCAGAAATATAAGGTATGTTGATTTAAATATTGGGTAAATACATAAAAATTGATACAGTGCATACTGCTTACTGACCAGAGTAGCTGCAAATCAATTTCACAACTTACGTCGTGTGATCCTGGTACATTCAGGTAAATAGACAAAAAGGGGACAGTCTGGGTAGTTTGCTTTTTTTAGTCTGAATATGATCCGATGCACAGTTAATGAATGGAGCAGAATGACATTTCTTAAATACTGTTTGCTCTATTATCAGCAGATTTCAACTGTCCAGTTTACTGAGTGCAAAAGCATGAACTAGATCAACTGTGGAAGCAAGTAGAAACGAAAATGTGGGCATTCAACTCTTAGAAGTCATTCAGACTTTGCTGTCTGTCTGTCTGTTTTTGACATAGAACTTTGCACATATGTGCGGCAATTGAATTCGCCACACTCCCTCCATGTAGCACACAAAGCAAGAGGAGAAAGTACAAGAAATGCATAATAGAGACAGTAAACAGAGGTGTGAGACAAAGGAATAATAGTAACGAAGAGCGAAACAGTTTCATTGGAAATCATAAGTCAGAAGGAGTGGGTGTATCTGCACTAGCCATTGAGAACGATTTTGAGCCATGTCACCAATTGTTTCCAACCATTCGTTTTTACCGTCCCGAGGACCCCAACCAGGAAGTCTACACCTTCCTACGTGGCTTGGGCTAACTATTGTGGATTTCATTGACTGGTGAGGCCATGTTTTTGTTTGACCTCCGCTAGCTCTTTTCCAGCCTGACCCTATATCAGCTAACATTGCTCGTCGAGGAAGGCGATAGATGGCTTGGCATACGTAACACATGTCCTAACCATCTCAGTCTTTGTAGCTTCACAACCTCCTCGATTGATTTCCCCTCCTTACCCAGCACTCGATGCCTAACCTCAATATTGCTCAGCTTATTGTGCCACTTCACACGGGAGATAGAACGCAGGCACCTTTGATCAAAGACAGCTAATCTTTTCATGTCTTCCTTTATCAATGACTAGGTTTCACAGCCATAAAGCAGGACGGAGAGGACTGATGCGCAGTACACCCGCCCTTTGGCCGATAGTCGGATGTCACGTCTACGCCAGAGACAACGTAAACTGGCATATGCGAAACGAGCCCCCTGTATTCGTGCTGAGATTTCGTCAGAGATTAACCCGTTGGCACTGGCTGATGGTACTTCCCAAATAAGTGAAGCGGTCAACGTGCTCTACCACTTCACTTCCTATTTTTAAACTAGGCGTCGATGTAGTCCAGTCCTGTAACATCATCTTGCATTTGGCGGGAGCGAATCGCATGCCAAACATTCGTAGATTACAGCTCAAGGTGTTCAGAAGACTCTGCATTTCGTCAGCGTCTTCGCCTAGAAGGACTATATCGTCTGCATATTCTATGTCAACGAGATTGATACCTGGTAGCAAGTCAATCCCTGAGTCGCTGAAGTCACTTAGGGTTAAGTCCATTAATACATCTATGATGGAGTTGAATAGAAATGGGGATAATGGGCATCCTTGACGGACACCACTAGTCGTCACCATTTCAGATGACAACTCGCCGTAAGCCCTCACCTGGCTGCATGAGTACCAGTAGAGCGCCTTAATCAGTGCAATGTATTTTCTCGGGATTACCTTTACAGACAAGCATCGCCAGAGAACCTCTCGGTCGACAGAATCGAATTCCGCCTTTAGGTCAAGAAATATAATGATTATTGGACGCCGGTAGGAATGCCTCTGTTCTAGAATCTGTCGGAGGGTGAAGATATGATCAATACACCCTCTTCTTGGTCTGAAGCCTGGCTTGCTGACCCAGACGTTGCACATTATAATCATATTCTTGATTCTTCTTTCATTCCTTTGCGTTCCAAGTGAAACATAAGACTTTAAACTCCGGCTTGAAATTTTTATTGGTATCGGTACTTTTCTAAGGAGTGGGGTAGCTAGCCTCACGTTTAACCTAAATCTTTACCGTGCCTACTCTCAGCTGGGCGAGATTTAAGAGTGCATCGGCCGTAAATCGAACCTCGAGTCACGTGAGTGGTTGGTGGGTATTCCACGAACAAATAATATATTCAGGAATTTATTTTGTTTGCCATTGTTTACTGATTCTCTTTTAGTCCATCCATCACTCAGTGAATCATATTTTCACAAGCAACATAGGCACCACATAAGATCTTCTCATGTTACAGGTGTGAAGGTGTCAGTCTGCTAGCCAGTTCTGCAGTTAGCAAATACATTACCGAAATGTCAGGTGAATGAGTAATATATTACTGTATATCACCATTGAGAAACCATTCATACAACAAGTTTCTCAAATTCGCGCGAATATAAGTCAATCAATCTTACATAACCTAGAATATCTTTTTGGTAAATTCTTAAGTTTTCGCTCCGATTTCGTGCCCCACATTGACAGACTGAATAGGTTAGTCAGTCAATTTGACATCTGTCAACATTGTTTACACTATCGTCAGCTGTTCCTGAAACTTATAGTATGTTATGTTCCTATTGTAGCAAGGAACACAGCTACAATACACTAGATTACTTTGTGATTTAGGCCTAATTTAAGTTGCACACACAGGTACACGTTGGAGTGAATCTCACCATGTAACATTATATTGACTAAAATTATTATTTTTCACGTATTAAGAATCACAAGTGTAGAGGTTTTATATGAATTCGAACACGAAGAATTCGAAAAGACTAGCAACTTGTGTCACACTGTTGTGCAATGGACTCATTCACACCGTGCAATAAAATCCTGCTTCCTAACAAAGAAATACTTTCCCATTTTCTATAGTTTGGTTTGTAAGGGTTAGTTATGTTTTTACGAGTTGGTCACGGATTGAAATCAGTTAGAGAACCATTGAAAACCAGAGAGTACTGGACAGCTGCTGTTTCATCCTAGTTTGGGAATCGTCCGCAGTACACACCCACTGACTGTGGTTCGAACACAGGACCTTCCGGTTACAAGGCAAGCTCGTATACCATTCAGCCACTGGGACCCGATTCAATGGCTCATGAATTCTAACAAATGAGGTCGTCTTACTGTTTTGCTTGATAAAACGGTTACAGTTGTTGCCATTTAAGATGCATGTATTCATGATAAATTTAATTGCATAACCTAATTGTCTGAATATTTTATCTTTTCCTCGCCTCTTAAGGATTCCGAAATCATTCTGGAAGATCTATACTTCAGTTGTCGCTATAGCGTACGAATTCAGATGTATGCTGGTATTCTGGATGAGAAATACCTTAGCATGGTAACATCTGGGATTTCAATAGACAACCAGTATTTGGATTCAAGGGGTTTACATTCTTGTTTTTGTACACCATCTTGTTTAGATGTTGAAATAAAACAAGGTGGATTACCGGAAAACTGTCCACCACCAGGTATGTGAATATGGTATGGTTAATTGTAGCAATTAACAAACATTATAGAGTCGAGTCAGTGATGATTCAGTTGTTTTTATTAAAATTTATCACAGACCGTCTGTACATAACCATTTAGTGCAGTAGTGACAATAAGGATTTATTTATTGTATTTTTGATTACAGCTTGGTTCCACACCGTATTTTTGGTACAAGTATGGAATTTTCAGCGTGGATATCGGTAGCCCGAATTTCGCAGGCCGACCATAGATATCAGGTGTGCGTCGGCAGGGGATCAAACCTCGGACCATGTGCATGGTCAGCGAGAGTCCTAACCACTGTGCCAACGACACAATAATCAGTGATGATAATGCGATAAACACTTTCATTTATGTTTAATTTCTACCAGAGTAACCAAAATGACTTCATTTAGAATTTACTTAGAAACTGAATTTCATTGAGGAAATCAGGTTCATGGCATTTACGAAATTCCTTTGCGATGGCTTCATAGGACGTCTTTCCAAAAGAGTTTTAGTAATAAATGTGCATGACTCTAAAGATGCCTGAAAACGGCTATCCCAGAGGATTTTGAATATTTCACTTTTAAAGTATTCAGGAATAGAATTAGTCATAAAAATTTCTACTATGTACTTAGGCCAACCCTGAGTCGTTTTTAAATTCTTTGCATAAATGATAAAAATACTGGCATAAGTATAAACAAGTGGCGCAAGTGACCTAGTAGAAAACGCTTTGGCATTTGAAATGAAGGGTGCTGGATTCAAGTCTGAATGGGAACACCATTACTGTCTGCGAAGTGCAGGTGGATCCAGGGGAAGAGTTCTTGATAGAGGGAAGTGCACATCTTGGATCTCACTGGTAGTCACTATTCACCAACTGTCCAGTCAGTAAAGGACTGAGAGGTTCATCCTCAGACTGCTTCTTATAATCCGTCTGTGACCTAAGTTTCCACTTCAACTTGAATTAGTACACCACCGTATCTATGTATTTACCTTAGAAAGTCCATTAGTTGAATGATACTCATAAATATTGGAGGCGTATTATCATAACAACAGTTTAATTACTTAATATACACAGTGATTTCATTATTTACCGTAGTTTACAAATAACTGGGGTCTGACAAAGAAATACTATTCATTCGCTATTGATAATGACTGAAGTGCGATCAAGGGATCTGTCTTTACTATTGGAATAAATTGAGGCAAGTCAGGTCATGCAAAGATAAAGGCAGCGTATCTGTTTTTAATTTGAGACTACATAACGAAGGAGCCACAGAATACACTAGACAGTGGGTGGAATATATGTCTACCCAAAGAAAATTGGTTTTCAATCTTGTTAGGAAAAGTCCTGTAAATTTTTCGCATAGATAGCATGTTCTCATTCACCTTAGGCTTACCATCTATTAGAGAAGTCGGGAATCAATAACACTGTTTACTCTCTTAATTTCTGTACTAATGCCAAAGTAAATTATTTTTCATAGTATTCTCGACATTCTTTTAAAATGTTTTTTTAAGCACCAGTGCCACCGTTACCACCTACTCAACTGAAAGTAATGCATATGGGCGACCTAGATTATCAAATATCATGGGTGCAGTCAATCAGCACTCAAGAGAGGAAAATTAGAACTGCTGATAAAGATTCACGTCTTTCATTTTCAAATAAACTGAAAAGGAATTCAACAAAATATCGTATTATATGGGCACCAAGAATACATGAGCCAGTCGATGAGTCTATGTACAACGATGAAATTGGTTTCAGTCCGATAATGGATTTACAACAGACAGATGTTAGAGTAATAAATAAGGTAACCACTGTTCATTTAAATATGGTATCTTGTATTTTACCCTTTAGTATTTTTATCTCACGTATTCTCCTATCACCGTCAATTCATCCCCATAATTGTTTTAGAAGCAATAATTTATATCAAGTTGGATTTTAGCACAATCCTATATCCGTCAAAATAACAATCGGAAAGCAGGATGTACTGAACAGTACCCCTTGGTTCTAAGAGGTCCGCTGATGTAAGATTATGTTGAAAGCTAACTTGAATGCCTAGAAATCTACACTATGGGATAGTATTCTGTTCTTCAAGAAGATCATATGACTCCTAAGCATAGACTAGATCCCTTCTTGATTTCTAAAAGATGTAAAAATGTAAATTACTAATTTGCTTCGAAAAACCGCGTGAAAATAAATAAATATGATGCTAACAAGTAGATAATATGCATCGGTGACACAGTGGTTAGGACTCTCGCCGACCATGCACATGGTCCGAGGTTCGATCCCCTACCGACGCATACCTGATATTTATGGTCGACCTGCAAAATTTGGGCCACCGATATCCATGCTGAAAATTTCATATTTGTACCAAAAATACGGTGTGGAATCAAGCTGTAATAAAAAAATGGCTTCATCCTACCATTGCAGATATTGCTTCATTACTTTATTTTGCTAAAAAATAGTAATCAAATTTCATTTCGCATAGGAAGATACAAATTATATTATAAAAGAAACGGAGACACATGAGATGTAAAAGGTTTAAGTTAAAGCCTCTTCTCAATAAAACATAATTGGACAGTCTTAAAACACAAATCTGAAGTCAATAAAATAACTTGGTTATTCACATTTGTGGGTAGGCAGTAAAAGTCTGTGGATTTGTTGAGCTGATACAAGTTAGATGAATGTTTCTTCCTCTCCCAAAACTTTTTGGATCTATTCAGAAAGTAATACTCCAAGATTCGTACTGCCCATTTCAAGTAGGTGTAATTTGAAATTTATTAAAAAGAAATACAGTGTGCACCAGAGAGATAGAGATGACTTCAGCTTTGTTATACAGTCATAATTTTGAGCGAGGCAAAAACATAGGTTTGCGCAGAATAAGATTGTGTCATTGTTTGCTTCGTCAGGTTTTCATCGGCTGTGTTTAGCTTGTAAATGCGATATAAAGTCAGTTAACAAGAGACTCCAAAACTATAAACAGCGCTCATAATTACACTTATATATTTTATACACAGAAGGTCTAAGTTTAAACGAAATCAAATAAATAAAAATACGTTTGGATACAATAGAGAAAAAGTTATGTAATAAGGACAAGAGGTGGACAACTAACTAGTAAGCCACACAACAATTCGGTGAGCTCAACTGAAATCTAGGGACATAAAACAAGTACAACTACTTTATGGCTAGGGGGGAAGAGGTTGCAGCCAAAACTTACGCAACCAAACAAAATGAAGAGTAAAGACATCCATTTACCAGGCAAGGAAAGACTGATAGCTGCCTCCCTTTGGCGACATAAGTTTGATCGCAGGCGCTTGCTTCGGCAAAACTTGAGAATTTAAATATGCTGTCTGCTAATAAGTTTAAAAGATTTAGAAGTGTCCACATCCTGATCTGCATCAATGAGATATATGATATGGGTCATGAGGTGGCAACTCTGAAATACGATTCATCCGAAGAGGGGTAATTCACATAAAACCTTGTACAATTAGAAGTTAATGGCGTACACTCATTCGATGCAAATTTTCCATGTGCACTACGAAACAGGTTTGATAATAATGATAATGTGCTTTTTTCCAAAAACAGTATTAATGATACATCAAAGAACTTTCAGCATTCAGTACGATATTGCATCTAATTTACTCAAAAACGACAAAAAGTAAAATAAAAATAAACATTACATAATACTAATAAAACGTTGTTATAGAAGCTACATAGCAAATTACTATACGCAATACGGAGAAAAATATGCACAAAGTACAAAATTGTAGTAATAACAGTAATAAAAACTAAAATAAAATAGCAAAGTCGGTTTTGGAAACTGCTGGCAAGTATCAGCTGAAATTTGTGTGCTAACATGAATCAGCTTCATTTCCATTCAGTATGATATTTCGCTGGTATTCTAAGCAGTGGATATGTGTAGTTAAGGGTAATAGACTGTTATGCAAAGGAAAGGTCTCCTGCATTAAAGTCTAACAAGAATTAGCCATACTAAATTGCAGTCTACTATTAGCCTATCACTAGTAACTACTTTGTCAAAAGTTAGTGCTCAGGCATATATTTCTGGTTAAGAAAATGATGAGTCACAGTTTTATTATTCATGTTTATACATTCGTAAAATTCTGATACATTTATTTATACACATGATGTATAGGATCAAACATGGATTGCTTTGAAAAAGCTGAAGCCAAATACTTTCTATATTGTACGTGTACAAACCTTACTTATCTTGCCTAATGGTATGGAAAGAGAAAGCAATCCTGTATCTGTGTATTTTACTACTGCTGGTGAAGAGGAAATGAAAAATTCACATTCAGGTAAGTATTATTGTTGGTGTCTGAATAACAATTGTAAAGAATTACAAGTCTCTGTCTACATTTACATTATAATCGCAAATGGTGATCTCTCCCGACATTCGTCCGTAGAAACCCTTAAATCCCGAAATGACTCCAGGTTAATAGTGGAATCACAGCCAATATCATTCAGCTAATCTCCTCAATAAGTTAAATCGAAAACAAATTCAATTAATGGTAGTTTAATAAGGTTACATTATTGGTCGACCTCCTTCTACGATATCTCCTGAGTTAACGAGTGATTACTGAATTCTTGAAAAAGGTAGGAATTCCGAATAGATGTAATTGTTGAAAATAACCAGGATCATAAAACATGTTTATTGCACTAGTAACGAGCTTATTTCTTACGAGCATACAATTTACTAGCACATGTCATTGATTGTAGTTAGTGAAATCAGAATGTCAGGAAAGAAATTAAGTTTCTGCAACCACCAACGTCAAGTTAAACGCTGTGTAGTTTAACAGTGAAGACGTCACATCCTTCTCGAAATGCATGAAACCGGTCAGCACCTGCTTCAGATAACTTGCAATAACCTTCAGCTGTAAACAGTACAGTAATGCATATTCTGAATTCGTAACGAAGATGTTTTCTTTTCTTTTTATTTTTTTGATTATAGCTTGATTCCACAATGTATTTTTGGTACAAGTATGGAATTTTCAGCATGCGACATCGGTAGCCCGAATTCGCAGACCAACCATTGATATCAAGTGTGTATCGATAGGAGATCGAACTCCGGATCATGTGCATGGTCGGCGAGAGTCCTAACCACTGTGCCACCGACTCACAGATTCAGAACTAAATTCCTTTGAGTAAAATCGTCCGTGTGGAATTTTAAAATTATTTTTAGTTTATCCAAAAGAATACAAAGTGTAGTACACTGCTGATACAGAAGTGATATCTGCGGGGGATATGAATACATGAGAAGCGGTAACCAGTGGGTTCGATCAGGTGGGGTTTGAGGACAAATACCTGCCAGTGACACTGATTTCTGGTCACGCTAGAAGAAAGAAAGCAAAATTCATTGGCCTGGTCTCGGTGGCTGAATTGTATACGAGCTTGCCTGGTAATCATGAGATCCTGAGTTCAAACACCAGCGGGTGCGTATTGTTGAAGGGTGTGAAACGAGGGTGCACACACACAAAGCCCTCATTTCACTCAGTACTCATACGAACAGATTTGTTTCAGTATTCAAATAAACTACACTCAAGCTAGTGTGTAAAACCATCTGAATAATTAATTGACTACTAAGTACAAAAGAAAAGAGGAAGAAAAGATACTGTTGTTCTCATTTCTCACATCTCATAAACAGGAAGGAAGTTTCAAGCCTTTTCAGATTAGTAGTGACAAAAGAGACAAAGAATGTATTCCTCACTCATTGTAATGTAAATTAAATGAACAAATAAATATGCCACAGATTTATTTTTCAAAGTCGATCGTGATTCATTCAGAGTTTAGAAAACAACACACGCACACACAATACAAAGATTTTCTATGAGAAACGGATACTCACTCAGGTGAGTCTGTAAAGACTTGAAAGCATCGCTGTAAGTTAATTACTGATATCCATCTTCTGTTCAACTAGCTTGATGGGTAATAGAAGGAGAACGTAGTCCGACTTTCATCAAATGTCAGAAGTTGACTGTTCTTCCACTATTTAGCTGTGCAAAAGCTTTCGGTAAACTTCTCATTGAACGATTTGATAAATCCACAACGAATTTACATACGTATGAATATATATTATCATAAAATGGTTTGGTTATTTATTTAACTTGCATTTTATGATAAAATTTTTCCTTTTCCTACTTTCTATCACAGGACAACACACATTACACAGTTCAGCATCTTTTGTCCATATAGACGCTGGAATCACAATCACATCCGCCAATGTGTTCATATTGATATTTTCCTGCCTTCGCATTTATTTCGTGTAAATAAGATTTTCATCCCCTGTAAATTTCCCCACTATAAAACACTCCCTATTATGGGCGTTTCAGTGTCTTCTTTCTACCTTGATAGTGGAGTAACTTCACCAACAGTGAGCAGGCTATTCATACAAATGCTGATGTTCAACTTATCTTCAGATTGCAACGAAACAAGACTTAAAAATGATTTTATACTTACCCAGTTACATATTGTAATTTTATTTTTGAAATTATTAATAAAACGACTCCCATTTAAGAATGTACAGAATGTTGTTTGTAGAAATTCACTTCAAATCTTCCTTTACGGAGAAAATCAACGAAAATGTGTTGCTTAAGTGCACCTTAAGAGTCGTTTTGTTTTAGCTCTTCATGCTGTTGGAGAATTCGCAAATGAATGTGTGAAAAGAGAAGTTAGGCATCAGCAGAGTATAACTCCATATTAAATTAGTTTATTCGAATTGGTACACATTGGTGCGATTTTATACAATGGATTGTGATGGGCGAACAATTCGTACCTTACAATTGAATCAAAGTGATATAACATTATATTAGTGTATGCTGCATTCATTAAGTCATTAGAATGTGGAAAAATAAGCTAGAACATAAGTAGAGATGTTTAGAATGTGTTCTAGATGTAAGAAGATATTGGTGATTGCCCACGATTACCTAGTTAGTTTCACTGTTGAGGTTTAAGCCTTTCGTTATGTGACGATCGCCTCAGGATAATTTACATTATTGTATAGACGAGGTATAGGATACTGTCAGACTTAACCGTGAAGTAAAATTAGTAACGCCTGTTGAAATCACACTTCAAGTCTCCTTCAGTTACATTAAATAAAATGATAAGACTTCTGTAGACACTGATTGATACAGGCAATATACATAACAAATATTAACCTGCTTCTGTTGACTGTGTTAACAGCAATCAACTGAAGATCGGAAAAATAATCTTATTGAAAACTGGATAAATTATAACAGTGCCTGGTTAATGAGTTGTACCAAGACATTGCGACACTGTTTAAACAAACGAATCTTTTGGTTATCAGAATTGCAAGTTTTCATGATTTTTGAAAGAAGCATTTCTTCAAATAATATTCAAATCACATAACAGCTTGTACAGCTAATTGAGTGTAACAACTGTTGGCACTCTCACTCTAAAGATATTGCAACATTGGTGCTTATTAGGATATAAATGCCAAAATGTAGGATAAAACAGGAAGAGTGTTCACTTAATCCATAAAGTTCAACAGAACCTGTCACTTGAATATATCAAAGATGTGGATAAAAATAGCAACATCAAGGAAGATGTGATAGATTAATCGGATTTACTACAGGTTACGCGAATAAAAGAATCAAAGTTGGACACACTGCGCACACCCCTGAAGTTGTCGACAGGTTCGTCTATTTAGGCAGTTGTGTGGGTGCTAGCGGAGGTGTAACGGACGAGGTCTCTACCGCATAGGGAAAGTTAGGGTGAGACACATCATTTTGTGCGTCGGTGACACATTGGTTAAGACTGTCGCCAACCATGCATATGGTCCGGGGTTCGATCCCCTGCCGACGCACACCTGATATTTATGGTCGGCCGGCAAAATTTGGACTACCGATATCGATGCTGAAAATTCCATACTTGTACCAAAAATACGGTGTGGAATCAAGCTGTAGTCAAATATAAAATAATAAAATGAAATAATTTTGGGCCACCCCTTTACCATCATGACGTTAGTCTGCCTGTTACAAGTTGAATTTAAAATGCTATGGTGCGCAATGTCTTACTCTACACCTGTTACATCTGGTCTCTATGATCTGAGTATTTGAAGCTACTCTGCGTTTTTGATCATCGCTGTCGTTTTAGAATTGCTTGTGACCCATGGGTTCACTGAACGTGTAATTTTAAGGTTCGGTAGTGTGTGTCTGAGCACAGTAGAGACCAACACTTATTGAGTGTCTTTATCTAGAAACACCAGCTCGGGTGGCTTGGAGATGTACTAAGAATATCATCCCAAAGGCTGCCTGTTGGCTAGCCACGTGACTGGATGGAAAAGCGGGGAGGCGGTTGGCGCCATGGAGTGAAGGATATTAGTGTTAGGTCAATATACTAGTCGGTACATCGTGACTCCCTGGTTGGGGTCCAGAAGATAGTTTGAATCGGTGGCTCGAAGCGTTATCAGATATGACCAAGAACTGCAATCAATGGGAAACATGCTGCAACTTCATTCTTTCTTCTCTTTCCGAATGCACCATGAATTAATGAATGATCTTCACAAACATGTTTTATTGTTTTCTGGAGGATGTTCCTGATTTATTCTCTGCTTATTTTTTTATATGTTGTTGTTTTATTATTGTAATGTTGCCCACCTTTTGGTGCCTTTATTGTACCAAGTTCCTGTCTTAAATAAATAAGCAAATAAAGACTACAGCTCAATCTATGTACAACAGACCCTGGAATTTACACAAGTGGTCCTCTCATATCTTGTAATGTACGCAAAAATGATATGATGACGGATATTCAGAAGGTAGTCCAGTATTCCAACCGAATTATACAATTAAATATCTGCTAGTAATCTGCATGATAATCTATTACTTAAATTCCGGTTAGTATAAAAGTTTGCTGGAAACCTATTTGAGGATGTGAAAAAGTTGGATTATAAACACCAGCCTTCAGTGTACGCGTTTTTAAACGTCATCGTGGCTCCACTTTTAACTGAAAACTTGACATATAAAGCTGTAATGCCTGGCTAGGTTAACGTGTGATTCACTCTGGTACCATCTTTTCAGTTTAGTAACCTGCCACTTAAGTCTGCTTAGTCTGAAATTGGACATTATGTGTATACATAAGCACAGTTCTAAACGAAACAGGGCTCTTCTTTATTTCATACTGGTTCACGAGTGCTCAGTAATATCTTTATTTTGCTTCAGAACCATCACTTCGTTGGTCTTATTCACTGTGAGAAGTACATTATATTTAAAAGAATACTAACCAAGGAACTTTTCAATCTTGGTGTCTAACATCATTCAAGATGAATCCCTCCTGACTGTTGACACTCGTCAGCAGGGTGTGTCTACAGCTTTACGGATATCCGTACTCCCTCCAAGATGCAAATTTGCATGATCCTATATCAAACCACTAGGCAATGTAAGTCACTGCTGCTCCCCGTAAAATTGGTAGAGAAGCTGATTCTGCCTCATCTGAGTGTGCTGATCCAAATATACTGTCAAGTTACGCAACATAACCACCACGTTTATTGGAATGACTATGTCTTTCCTTTGAAAAATGTTGCTTGGTCGATGATTAGCTTTGCGATGAACTAAGTACATCTGGTAAGTTGAATAGGTCTCTTGGTCCTTATAATGTCCACAACAGTAATCACAACATGAAAACCAAGGTAAACTTCTTAACAGTTTCTCACTAAGCAGCTCTTAATATCTTCAATCACAGGCGCAAAAGAGCTATAAGGGATGATTCTACTATAATTTTAATCAGAATATCATCACCACCCTCTCAAAAGTTGTGGGAGCCACGCTGACAGACCCACATCAGTATTTTGATAATGGACACGAAACATCTAATCCCACTTAGCCTGCAAGTGGATTAATTGTTTGTGTACAAAAATTAGATGTATAACGTCAACAAACCTGACCATAAACAAACCATTTATCATAGGCTGAACCATTTGGAGCAGCTTAATAAGACACCGCTTAATTATTTCGTGTTCTGACACATTTTTAACTTGGTGACAAAATACCTACTGTGAAACAACAGCTCAAACCTAGCTACAAATCACTAATTTTTACTCACTTCATAAGTAAAAATCTGCAGTGACAATTTTATTACATGCAATCAGAGTATTACTAATTCATACAACTTCACTTGTGGTGATCGATTTAATTTCCAGAATTTCTTTCACGTGATTCGCATAACAGATGACTACCAAATTTGAATTCGTTATTCTACAGTTGTCTACCTACTTATTAAACTATGCTTCTTGATGACCTGAGAACAGATGAGATTGATTTAATCAAGAAAACATTTCATCAGTTCGATTATCGTAACATCGGTTTCATATCTCACGAAGATTTCGCCAATGCATTACGCTGGCTGAAACTGATACCATCCGAAGCAGAAATAGCACAAGTCTTACAGGAAATCGACCCAGAAAATCTAGGACGTATTAAAATTGATGCATTTGTTCACAGTGTAGTGAAATTCTGGTTTCCAACACCACAAAAATTTGAAGCCTATTTATGGGATGCATTTTCAGCATTTGATAAAGAGCTGAAAGGCAGTATATCGAGTGATTTGTTAAAGGAGATTTTAACCGTTCATGGTACAGAACCGATACCAGAGAAGGAAGCAAACAAAATTATCAAACGTTATGAAACTAAACCTCAAAGAATGATTGAATACAGTTCAATAATCAATGATTGGATGAGATGAAATCTGAAGATGGGAGGATATACAGCCAAAGTATGATGCTATAGTGTATAATACAACATGTTACTTCATTCATAGGCATCATACACTAATGGAAATGTACTAAATGTATGTCATATATCACACATACATATGCATATATATTATGCATAATACAGTATATATTTCGCAGTACAGAGTGCTTCTGCTTTGATCAATGGTTTTCCTCACTTATTCTCAACAAGTTTTGTGAGGTACTGATTTGGTCATTGCACATACACGTTGGTCTGTCTAATACTAGTCATGTGTCGGACAGTAATAACAAAACCAGCATTTTGTACATTAATAACTTTGATGAATCCGTGAAACCTGATTTACAAATATACACCGGAAAGATTGGAAATATTATCCAGTGTACTGAAAGTGGAAGGAAATACACTGAAATAAAATTCACAACTTATGCACGCCGTGGAGCGATGTTTTAGGGTGCAGCGATTGTATGAGGGATAGCCGTTTATCGAAGTCTACAGGGAATTTTTAACAGTTTAAACAATCAAGACCAAAGTAATAGGCTATACTACTGGACCAACTAGAGTAATCCTACAAATTACCAGGAACAATAGATCAAGAAATAATCTGACATATGACAAAAGTTACTCATCCCTGCCAACGCAAGCGATGCACTAATCGATCATAGATAAGACCGAATAAAAAGTGGGGATAGATACTCACCAATGACATTGGTCGACATTCAAGCTGCATATCACGGATTGGCAGATGCTAAAATTTAGGGGGTTGTTTTATTCCGTCCCAGTGACTGAATGGCGAATGAGGTCGCCTTTTAACCCAAAGGTCCCGGGTTCAGACTCCGGACTACTCATGGATAAGTACTGTTTAAGAGTCTTGAGCGAGGACTGAACACCTATCCAATACCACCTGGTTTTCAGTTGTTCTCTAAGTGAAGTCAGTTCGTGATCAAACTTGGAGTTAATCAACTCTCTTTAAACCAGCACTTGAAAATGAGTTCTATAGAAATTACTTTGCTTTTGTTCAAACAATTGAATGTATGGATTTGTTTATCATTTCAATAGCCTTCACAGTGCAAATGAAAAGACTGGTTCTGGGAAAAAAGATCAGTAATGTTGGTTTGAGTTTAAATTAACATTTTAAACATTTTTAAATAAACATTCTGCAATAATGACTACACGCAAATTCCCAGTGATAAACATATAGAGCTGAAACGGTGGCAACAGTTGCGTAGGCTTGCATTTTAACATATCTTATTCTCAATTTATGTTTACGGACCAAGCGAAATGCATATATTCGAAAGTCCTGGTGTTTAGTTCGATATTTCCATAATCTCTTTACAAAGCTTTCAAATGTATTTTGAAACTGTTGAGTTCATTTCAACACTACTTTGTCATGCTATGAGTAGAAGCATTTAAGTTATATCCCAAAGTTTTCTTTCTTACTGAAGTTTTTAGTGATCAACATTTTACAATGATAAACAATTCGAACAAACAACCGAGCCCTTTTCTAATGATATATATATATATATATATATATATATGCTTGTATGTGGTGAGTTTGCTAGATGAAACGAGTTATGTGAGTTCCCTTTTTCATAAATTGTTAGAGTCCAGTTAACTCCTGACAAATGATATGAATTCATACCACATCCACTCTCCCCCTACTCCATCATATTAGTTGGACAAACAATTTATAGAAGAACAAACAAGCTCTTCTATTTTGAAATTTTTCAAACTTACCTGAGTGAGTATCCGATTCTCATAGAAAATCTTTGTATTGTGTGTGCGTGTGTTGTTTTCTAAACTCTGAATGAATCACGATCGACTTTGAAAAATAAATCTGTGGCATATTTATTTGTTCATTTAATTTACATTACAATGAGTGAGGAATACATTCTTTGTCTCTTTTGTCACTACTAATCTGAAAAGGCTTGAAACTTCCTTCCTGTTTATGAGATGTGAGAAATGAGAACAACAGTATCTTTTCTTCCTCTTTTCTTTTGTACTTAGTAGTCAATTAATTATTCAGATGGTTTTACACACTAGCTTGAGTGTAGTTTATTTGAATACTGAAACAAATCTGTTCGTATGAGTACTGAGTGAAATGAGGGCTTTGTGTGTGTGCATGTGTGTCTGTAGATACGTGTATCACAGTGTGTAGTGTATTTTACCTGATTCATTTTGTGTCGCTACATTGCGCTGTTTACTTTTTGTGTGTGGCATATCTCTTAGGTGTCTTTGTTTAAGGTTTGACTTATTTACGGCTTTTTTTGTTTCCTTCACGTTCTCAGTGGAACATAGGGCTTCAAGCTGGAGGCTTGAAGTTTCTGTAGCAGTATTTATTTTTACAGGATGGGGTTACTACCCTCATGCCCAACCTTCCCTCTTCACCAGCATTATTTCTGGCTTAGTGAGGTAAAGGAGTGCATCGGCCGGGGATCGAACCCCGGACCATGTGCATGGTTAGCAAGCATGCTAACCGCTGTGCCACAAACGTACAACTAAAGGAATGATATTTTAGACGATCCAATTCGTTTCATTTTTGATTACACCGGAAGTTGCGGATGAAGTTAATGTTTTCCTTGGTATATATGATTCAATGTGAAGGACCAAACTGTGTGCGTTGATACTTCAAACTGCAATTTAACTTGAGTTGGAAATCACAGATGTATCAGATGACATCATTCACCTCGCTGGTCGTTATGTGACATTTCCATTCATTTTTTACTTGATTTCTTGTCAAGAAGTGGATGTGTTTATTAAATAAGGATCGATTGTTATATTATATTTTTTTGATTTACAGCTTGATTTCACACCGTATTTTTGGTACAAGTATGGAATTTTCAGCGTGGATATCGGTGGCCCAAATTTTGCCGACCGACCATAGATATCAGGTATGCGTCGTCAGGGGATCGAACCTCGGACCATGTGCATGGTCGGCGAGAGTCCTAACCACTGTGCCACCAACGCACATATATATGAGGATAGCAGGACAGAAGAGATCGAGGTATTAAAACAACCGAAGTCCTTGATATTACTGATATAAGAGTTAGTTAGATGTTATTTAGATTATTCAAGAGGTTATCCTTCAAAGATGGAAACCCTTCCAATCACTATCAAGAGTTAGTAATGAAGTCCTAGTGACGACAAGTTTAGGATATGTTCGACGATGACATGACTGAAGAAGCTGACAGCCCAATTAGTTTGCACTGCCTTTATCAAACACTCTCAATGGACAGTTGTCAGTCAGTGCTGATTTCAGAAAGCATAATAGTGTAATTGAAGTGAGACCCTGTACCATAACCATTCTGGGGTGAAAGCCGGATTTCGTGCAGAATACTGGTCTGTTTATGGTTCTGGTTGCGTGATCAGGATATTCATATTTACAGATGAAAAGTGTGACGGTGATAAGATACTTTTCTTCATGAGACAGAAACAGTGTCAGATTAAACAGATGCTGTTTGGTTTGCCAAGTGCATCTTTTATGTTTAGACTTAATGACCTTTTTGCTTAGAAATCTGCAGAGCAAGAAAGTTAACGGCGACAAACTAGTAATATATGGTCAGAAAACAACCATGTACAACAGGTGGAATTTACTGAACATACGTGTCAAAAGAAAAAAGTCTCAAGTAGCTATGACTAATGTTAGCTTTTTGGAACAGAAAGAGGGAAATGGTGAGATTAAACATTTACTGAAGAAAACTTTGATAATAATGAAAGGCTATTCCAACCCGGAATTAAAATAGGAAGCTATGATGATTAGTCAGGAGAGCACAATTTCATACTCCCTTCGTGAAAAACTATAATAAGATAGGAGTGCCATGGTACGAACTACAGTGTGTGTCCGAATTTCCTTAGACAGAGGAATCGTGGAAGACATTCAATCCCATCAAAAAACTTTTGGATATGCAGTAGATGACGCTTAAACTATCTGCACCTGGAAGAAATGAATTGTATGCATACACCATCAATCCTGGGAAAGCTGATGCTTGATAGATTGTATAAGGTTGGGCTTCAAATATATCCAATTACATCATAATAAATCTGCCTTAGCACAAGACCCAATTTGTTCGTTCCCGTTCAAGCCTGTATAGACCGGTGTACGCTGGTTTTGGCTGCTTCCTATTGCCTTTTTTCATAAAATTTTATAACTTCTTTCTTGGATCTATTTGAAAAGGTTCTAGTCTCATCTTCTGTTGGAATGATCTCTTTATGGGAGTAGAAAGAGCCATAACTGTCTTCATTTTGCTGGTTGCCGAATACTGAAAGTATCCACTAAAACTTCTAGAATGAACTCTAGCCTTTCTGATGACTCTTAGATATGATTCACGGGTCTCATCTAAGTTTTTCCCTCTACATTTACTATGCATACAATATTTCCTTTCAGTTCTATTATTTATCCAAGTGTCCATTTTGGTGGCAAATAACGAAAATCATGTACATAAACATGCTGATGATACATTTTGAAAACTTGATGCATGGTACCAAGGCGATTATTAAACTACCTTGTCACTGTCTGCGGGTTTGATTTGTCCGCTTAGGTTTGATTGATTCAAGGACGGTCCTGATCCTTTTACTATATGTAATTTCTTCTGGAGATAATTTATTTGGGGTCGAAGGACTGGGTATCATGAGATAAAATAGTGGAAATTTATCAAAAATTTCTTCTCTCGTCTCTTCTCCATTTCCAGCATAAAATCTCTCTTGAAGATATAGATATAGACATTGATTAGATTAGGGTCGATATGGGGAAGCAGAAAGGTGCTAGATTCCCTACTGATTGTAGCAATCTGAGAATACTGAACATGTAGACTGCTACCCATTACTAGATCGCAAGACATCAGGAGTGTCATAATGACGCAAAAGCTGACATAACTGGGTAAATGTTGCATGTGATGCTGCAGAATGCGTAAGAAAATTCTGCATGAATTAGGAAAGGCGCCAATGCAAGTTAAAAATTACGTGCTATTAAATGGTCCAGCAAAATTAAAGTGAACATAGGACCATGGTTTATCTGGTAG